AAAAAAAAAAAAAAAAAAAAAAAAAAAAAGACACACATAAGAGACACCTTCAGAAAAATTTCATTCCTAGCACCCGACCTCACAGAAGGCAATTGAGGTCAGAAATCACCTGACCTCACAGAAGGCAACTGAGGTCAGAAATGCATCACTGGCCAAACTTTCTCATGATGTTTAGAATAACTAGCATAAAGATGACAATTTCTGAAGAGACTCCACCTGGCGGAGTCCTTCAAATCTTAAAACTAGCTGTTCTTCTTTCACTGCTCCCCCAGAATGCATCTGTAAACAGAGCTGTATGATGCAAGGTACAGCAGTGAAGGATATCACATGCATGCATGTCTAGGTTGCTCATTTTATGAAGAGGCAACAGCAGCCCAGAGAGAAGAGTAGCATGGCTATGGACAACAGACACTAGGAGCTTAATCATCCTTGAGATGGGAGAGGGGCTGCTATCTGCAAGAGTGCAGAAACACGGAGGAACAGGCCAGGAGCAGTGGCTCATGCCTGTTATCCCAGCACTTTGGGAGGCTGATGCTGGCAGATCACTGGAGATCAGGAGTTCAAGATCAGCCTGGCCAACATGGTAAAACCCTGTTTCTACTAAAAATACAAAAATTAGCCAGGTACAGTAGCACATGCCTGTAATCCCAGCTACTCGAGAGGCTGAGGCTTGAGAATAAGTTGGAACCTAGGAGGAAAAGGTTTCAGTGAGCCAAAATCACACCATTGCATTCTAGCCCCAATGATAAGAGTGAGACTCCATCTTAAAAAAAAAAAAAAAAAACATGGAGGATAAACTACATGGGCACTGGATGAAAGCTCCAGGAATCACCTGATAGATCTCAGCACCATTACTGTTGCTAATACTTAGGGTTTAAACACAGAGTTAGGAACGTCCATGGCTGGTCATCAGGATTTGTTCAACGAACAAATGAGCTTAGGCAGACCTAACTTCTGACATTCCAAGTCAGAACTTGGTAATACTTGTCTGAATTCTCAACTGATTATTAAGTTCCTGATTAACACTCCACATTTTATTTACTATCAGAAAACAATTGGGTAACACTATGTATCACTGGCCATGATTTGTCTCTAGAGAGAACAGGTAAAGGAAACAAAATTTATACTTAACATGATGCTCTGTTAAGTGACCCCAATTTCCTCCCACATTCTTTTTTTTGAGATGGAGTTTTGCCCTGTCGCCCAGGCTGGAGTGCAGTGGCGTGATCTCAGCTCACTGCAACCTCCACCACCCAGATTCAAGCGATTCCCCTGCATCAGCTTCCCGAGTAGCTGCAACTACAGGCAACCACCACTGTGCCCGGCTCATTTTTCGTATTTTAGGAGATACGAGGTTTCACTATGTTGGCCAGAATGGTCTCAACCTCCTGACGTCGTGATCCGCCCACCTCGACCTCCCAAAGTACTGGGATTACAGGCGTAAGCCACCGCACCTGGCTTCCTCCCACATTATACTACTATTTTAATTGTTGTTATAAAATTAAATGATTCCCTGTCACTATATAATCAGGTAACTTTGATGGAACAAATTCCTATCTTCCTGTTAGGACACACTAACATAGTCCTCATGTAATCTTCCCTCTTTAAGGCTGAGATTGTGGATGATATGATCTTGACATTGTCCTAGAACGTCTTACATCATAGCAATACTACCACGAAAACCAAACCACATTTTTTTTCCTTTTTGGGGAGAAAGGGGTCTTGCTATGTTGCCCAGGCAGGTCTAAAACTCCTGGACTCAAGCTATCCTCCTGCCTATGCCCCCCTAAGAGCTGGGATTACAGACGTGAGCCACTGAGCCTGGCCACAATTTTTTTTAATTAAAAAAAATTTTTTAGAGACATGATTTGACTATGTTGTCCAGGCTGGTCTTAAACACCTGAGCTCCAGCATCCCAAAGTGCTGAGATTACAGGTGTGAGGCACCATGCCTGGCTGACATATAATTTTTAAAGCTTTGAAACAAAGACAATTGGTTTTTAGAGGGTTCAGCTTATTGGGCCCTAGTGGTTCCCAAGATTTCCAACTACCAGTTTCTTGGGTCCTAAATTTCTTATGTTCCCACAGGTTGGCCTTTGATATAGGCAGGTGTCTCTGTCCAAATGAGGGCAAGATCAAATTGAAATAAGGCTTTACTATAGCATGAGCTTCCTTTGATCATCTGAAAAGAAACTGTAGCTATAGTAAGCTGTCACAGCATCCTTGCTAATTCTGGTTATAGCTGTGTTATAGAGAAGAAAATTATGTAAGTAATAATGAGAGACAGATGTTTTCTACTTTTTTTTTTTTTTTTTTTT